AGCATATTTCCTAAACAATGGCGTAAATCTGACCGCCATAGTAATTTACAGCAAAATGGAGTATTATTTCCACAGTTTCAGCTAGGCCCTGCCTCTCTTTGTCATAAACTATACCTCTGGCATGCTTTCGTTTTTTCCATACAAACAAAACATCTTTAAGATATTCCAGTACAGAATAGGAAATATTTCCTATGATCAGCAACAATGACAATATGTGAAGTACAGGAGCACAGGAATTTGGAGGTGGGACAATTGTCTTTGCTAAATTGTGATATTATTCCTTCCTGTTTTACTCTACTTTGGTTCTTCCCTACCTTAACAGAAATAAAGAACAACAAATTGAAATGAATATTTATACTGCCAAACATAAACATAGCATTTTCCCATAATAATATAAATCATCCTAGCATGCCTAGTGATGGTCATACATTATTTTGATCTATGAGGAATGAGAATTTAACCACTCTATGGTATTCTATTTTGGACATCAACATACTATAGTTTGTTTTTTATTGAACTGGCACTCTCCATTTCAACCTTCACAGGCATTTAAAACTTCCTTTAACTCACTATAAGTGGCAGAGTGACAGATTAAGCCTAGATATTAGCTGTAAAACTAAGATCCTGTACAGACTGCCAGAAATAATCCAGTTTGAGACCACTTTAACTGTCCTGGCTCAATGCTAGGGAATCATGGGAACTGTAATTTTTTCTGAGTCATCTTTCAGAAAGTTCTGGTGCCACAATAAGCTACAATTCCCATGATTCCCTAGCACTGAGCCAAGGCAGTTAAAGTGGCCTCAAACTGGATTATTTCTGGCAGTCTGTACAGGCCCTAACATATTTATAGACAGATTGTTTAATGTTAACTTGATTATTATTTAAGAGAAGTTTACAATACAATTGTAAAATCCTGGCTAATCCCGCAAGCTTCTACTCAGAAATAAATTGAATACAGTGGAACTCACCTGAAAATAGGAGTGTCTAGGATTTAGCACTATTTACAATTTTTACAAACCAGGAAGAAAAATTAAAACTAATCTAAATTTTTAAAATACTTTATTTAAAGATACACTTTTTCCTATCCATTCTAACAACAGACATTAGGCTTCAACTGGAAAGACTAGGGCTTACATCAGGGATAGGCAACCTTTCCCCTTTAAGGGCAGAGGGACTTCAGCTCCCAGAAGCCTCAGCCATGTTGGCCAATAGTCCCATGTTGGCCAATAGCTCCTGGGATTCTGGGAGCTGAAGTCCCTCGGCCCTTAAAGGGGAAAGGTTGCCTACCCCTGGCTTACATCCCTGCTCTGTCATGGGAGTCAATGAGTTATTTGGATGAGCCATGACATAAGAAATCACATCATAACAAGTCAATAATTTACTAGGAGTTTAGCCAGGATTTTCTAGCCCCAGTAAAAGATACAAGCAAATCATGTCTTATAGCACTAAACTACAGCCTAATCTACCTGATAAGAGTTGCTGCAAGGAAAACATAGCTTAGCACAGCTTGCATCCAGACTATTTGAAAAGTTGTATCTCCCTACACGGGCTTGGCCATTCTCTAAAATCTGTAGAGAAAGGCTTTCTCTCATTCCCACCAACATCCCAGGCACATCATGTGAGGACACAAAAAAGAGACTTCTCGGTGGCTGCTCCCAAATTATGGAACTTCTTTCCCTAGAGGATATGGTTGGCTCGTTCCCTGTTATCTTTCCACCAGTTGCCTTTACTTCCTTTTCATTTAAGGAAGATTTTGGGTTTTAATATGTTGCAGCAGGTGGAGCTTTTAATGTATATGGATAGTGTTTTATTTTCTGTTTTAATGCTATTTTTAATTTGCCTTCAATTTGTGTTGTTTAAACACAAATTTATTTTACTTGTGTTTTAAGCTTTGCATTAAGAGGTTTTTTAAAATTTTATTGTGCTTTTAAAATGTTGCATGCTGCCTTGAATCCCATGCTGGGAGAAAAGCAGGACATAAATTAAATCAATCAAATAATGGGAGTCAAAGAAAGAACCTAGGCATGGCGCCCAGTATACATTTAAACAACAGTAGGATAAAAATAGTTATAAACTCTGCATTGAGTGTGAAGTCAAAGGCTTTCATGGCTGGCATCAATAGTTTTTTGTGGGTTTTTTGAGCTGTGAGGCCATGTTCTAGAAGAATGTATTCCTAACATTTCGCCTGCATTTGTGGCTAGCATCTTCAGACAATGGTGGCATGGAGGTGTGTGGGATATATATACTGTGTGGCCCTTGGTTGACAGGATTAGCATGTAAATCTGTGTATTGTTCTGTTGAGGCAAGGCCTCAGGGTGGGAGGATATCAGAGGAGGATTAGTGTCTACTTAATTAGTGGTCCATTGTCTGCTGGGAATTAGCATATACATTAGCATGTAAATCTGTGCACAAAATGGATTTCTGGGCACAAAATGCTGTTTGAAAACTCTGAAATTCTGGACCTTGCCAATAACTATCCAGTCAGAATGCACAGGAAAGCCATTGAAATCCACAAACACCTGGACAATTTTAACAGGAAAGAAGAAACCCCGAAAGTAAACAAAATTTGGCTACCAGTCCTCAAAAACACAAAAATCAAGAGTCAACAAATGCAAATGAACTTCACCCAGGGTCAGAGGGTTTCCCAGCAGACAATGGACCATTAATTAGACCAGAGGTAGGCAACTTTTCCCCTTTAAGGGCCGAGGGACTTCAGCTCCCAGAAGTCTCAGCCATGTTGGCCAATAGTCCCATGTTGGCCAATAGCTCCTGGGATTCTGGGAGCTGAAGTCCCTCGGCCCTTAAAGGGGAAAAGTTGCCTACCCCTGAATTAGACACTAATCATCCTTGCATATCCTCCCACCCTGAGGCCTTGCTTCAACAGAACAATACACAGATTTACATGCTAATCCTCTCAACCAAAGGTCACACAGTATATAAACCCCACACACCTCCATGCCACCATTCTCTGAAGATGCCAGCCACAGATGCAGGCGAAACATCAGAAATACATCCTTCTAGAACACAGCCTCACAGCCCAAAAAACCCACAAAAACCTCTGCATAGAGTATTTCACCTCAACTACTACAGGCTGTTTGGAAAGTTCAGTGATAAACCAAACACTAAAAAAGACTGAAGTTAAATCACAGGTATCTCTCCGGGCTGCTCCAGGAGTATTTTAGCCTTGAAATCCCCCTGCCTTCCTTCACTCCTTTGCTTCAGGTTTTTGGCTCTCACAGCAAATGACGAGTGGTTGCCTTCTCACGCAGCCCCCATTTGTTGACAGTGGGTCAGAGCAATTTGCACCTGCAGTGCCAGTGCCAGGCAACTCGCAGGGACTGCAAGTAAAAAGGCATTGTTGCTGCAAAGAGAGCCAAAATCTTGCAGCAAAAGATTAGTTATTTAAATGCAGGTTGGGGGAGGAAGCCCCAAATCGGGTGCAGCTGTTGTGAAGAAAATCTAGAATCGATTCAGTAAACAGGATGCAACAAGCCTGGAGGCAATCTGGGTATATCATTCATGTACAGAAGCCTTCAAACAGCAGGACCAGGGCAAAATTTTGTCCAAGATAGGGAGCTGCTGCTGGCCATAAGAGTTACATATGACACTATTACCATTATACAGGCAGGTCCTCTGCACAATTTTAAGCCTCTTTAAGGTTTAATACCTTTTTTCCTTCTCAAGGCAGTACATGGGCTGTTCATTGATTTTTAGCATCCACAGTAAAAAGAGCCAACCACTGCTTGAGTCAATTTTATCCCCACAAAGCTTAGGTTGAACATGAACATGTTATTAAGCCCAGAACTCATCCACCTCATGAAAAATTACTGACTGACCCAAGGCTGTCTTGTTAGTTTATTTGGAAAGCTGTCTATCCTTCAACCAGACTCACCTTGTAGGACATCATGAAATCCATGAAGAACTGAAGCAATATACGTGAATACTGAGCTGAAGTTTGTTCGAAGCAGTCGGTCTGGTTTTGTGCCTAAAAGTTTTTACATGCAACAAAAAATCAAAATCCATTAAGTCTTTAAGAAAAGAGGAAACATGAGATTTGTCAAACAGAAGAGTACTGGACAAACAAAGACTATAGATCTGAGTATTAAAACAGTGTGGCTAAAGGGTTTTCAGAAATAATGCAGCCTGTGGTTTTCCAGATTCTTCATTCAAAAACCAGGAAGAAATTGGATGATATCATATAAATGGCAACCACAATACATAATTGCATATATGAATGTATGTATATATACTAGTTCTGATTAGTGTCCATTTCTAGACAACTCATCTTAAATGTACAACCTGGCAGGAAGGCTGATGTTTAATTTGTAAAGGAACACTCATTGTCCATACCATGCAATGTACTGGCCTGTACAAAACTATTTTCTGGAGATAAAAGCAAAAAGTTCTCAAAGTTTTCAGAGTTCTCACTGCTTCACCATGGATTGCTTCACAGTGCTTATCATCCATAACCTTCCTGTTCTTTCTTGGAACTTGAGTTTACAGGGCTTTTACACACAAGGCAGAAATGAAACTGCTTTAGACAACAAAATAATAAAATTAACTGCTATTTAGGGGAAAGGATTTTTTAAAAAAATATATTAACACTGATACAAAACAGACATTTGGGAGAACATTCAGATTATAGGATCAGTTTCAAACTAATTCTATTGTAAACAAAACTAGAAAATCTTTGTTGGTTCAAACTTTTTATAGGATATCAATTTCAATCCCTTCTAATTTCAGGAGAGAAAGTACCGTACAAACAAAAATGCTGATCTACAAATCCCTAGGAGAGGAGCCTGGAAAATTTTCTAGGAAGTTGTCTGGACTACAACTATGCTGACTAGAGAATTCTGGGAGCTGCAGACCAACTAAGTAAGTTTTCCAAGCTTTTTGCTATGAACACTAGAACTTTGCTCATACTAAGGCTGCCCAATGGACTGTGAATATTGACTACAATGGGTCTCAAGTCTGAGGTGGGATTCTTTTTCAGTGTGACATGGAGATAGCAGGGATTGAACTTTGGACCTTCAGCTTGCAAGGAAGATACTGTACCTCTGAGCTATGGTCCCTCACTTCCTAAGCCCTCAATTTTCTTGTGCAGTGAGAAGAAACAGTAGCAATGTAGGTATATAGCTCAATCTTTCTCTTCTATCCTGCAAATCTCTCTCCCCCTGCCCATTTCATGCATCATGCTGAAATCAGAACTGCTAGCACCAACAACAAAAACTTACTGGGTAAGGCAAGAAGACTAATGTATGTGTGCAGCTTCTCAAAGACCACTGTCAGTTTTTTCATGTCACTTTGGAGCTCCATGTTCCTGGCTCTTAACGCAGCTGTGCAAAGAGAAGATTCACACTCTTCTTCCAAACTAGGAACATATGAATTTATGTTTTTAAAAGTGAGTACTTTTTGTATTTTGCTTTTTTTTAAAGACAAGATTTTTTTTCCAGAAAAGTCTGAAGCAGCAATACGCATCACTTTTATGGGGAATTATTTGAGACTGTTTTGTACCTTTTATATTTGTTTTCTAAAGTAATTTGTGGCTGCTACATTCCTTCCTTGTGAATGAATAGCCAGGAGTGCCACCACCACCACTTCGAAGGCAGAAGCAGTTGGCTGGAGGGTTCCCCGAAGATCTTCTATACAGTAATCATGTCCCGTATGTAAAATAAAATGGTGCAGGTATTTGCAAGCTGCAGAAAGACACGACTGGAGAGAGCAACTTGGATTTTGGGTTACCCATCAATAGACATTCCAGTACTGCTACTAAGGCCAGTCATCCTGGGTCTTGTCAGCCACCAGTTTATGGTGCCACTTGCAGCCTCCCAGCCTGCCTCCCACAGCCTTCTCTTGCTGCCACTACCACCCCAGTCATTGGAAAGTTCACTCTATTTTCCAAGCATTTTTTAAAAAGCAGGTTTTTGAAATCTCCTCTCTCCAACCACATAACTTTGGAGCATCACATCTCTCAGGTCTCTCTGAAGCTTGTAAATACTGCACCATTTTTATATAAGGGATCAGGTTACTGTACAGGGGATCTCCAGGGACACCTTCAGCCACCAGTTTCTGCCTTCAAGGCAGTGGCAGAAGATGTACCGTATTTTCCTTCGTATTAGACGACTTTCTAAGCAGGAAAAG